TTGCGTATTTTTTCTACCCCTTTTATCCCCACTTCAACACCCCCCCCCATCCCATGGAGATGCAGTATTTCTAAATGAAAGATAACCCAATTTTACACACAAAGGCCATTTTTTTTCCCTAAAGGAAGTGTGCACATTCTTCCGGAGCTCCTAAGAATATTCTTGAAAGTTGCATGTTGAATTACTTCTACTTCCCAAAAATGTATCTTATCATCAGGAATAATTGTAAATTTATCACAAAAACAAACTTGCTTCTCTTTGGCATGTTTTAATTTTGCACAAGAGAACACGAAAGAGCCTTAAGGTTTTGATGGATAGAAACAATGCTGATGGTGTATATCACAAAGCTGCTTAATATGGGCAGTCAAATGAGATCAAGCAAAAGCTAGATACAAAATCTCTCACATTTTCTTCATTCACATTATTTAGAACTGAGACCTGGCTGCAGTCATTTCTAACACTCTTTTCAGGGATAATTACATAGTAAATGCTAGATACTCATCAAATCTACACTCTAACATATACAATTAAAACATTATTTCAAAGGAAGAAATGTAAATGCATACTTAGCAGTTCGCTGCCCATGAAATAAATTTAATAATATTTGTATCATAGCTGAAATTTAAAACGCAAATATTAGCTAATGGGAAACAAACGATTAAATTAAGAGGATATGAGCTGGATTATAGGATAATGGGGGATCACTCAGTTATTGAGATTGTAAATTTAGCAAGTCTATGGAGGCTAATTTATTTAACATGGCAAAAGATGAAGGATTAACAATATGGAAAGTAACAAATTATGTGGAATTTAACAGCTCTTGTTCCCAGTATTGTGGGAAATCTCACTGCAATGTCAGCTTGTTCCAACTATGCAGGTGCTGCTACCTTTGGAGAGGATGGTGCAGACATGCTTATACAGACAGGAAGCCAAAAGGAGTCGTATCTTGAAATCTCACAATCCAGAAAATGATGGGACATGGACGCCAAGTGTTCTTTAGTCTCGCCAGTGGCTCCTGTCCCTAACATAACGCAGTAAGAGTTTCACCATGATAGCATTGACTTTTCTCAAAACTCAAAGGGCTTTTCAGGTATATTTTTTCACCTTTTACAAATCCCCATGAAGTAGGGGAAAGTAGGTAAGTCAACCAGGGTCTCAGCATTTACTGGGTGGCAGTGTGAGTGAGGCGAGCCAAGTTGCTTAACAGTCAGTGGACAGTTTCCCATTCAGCCAGCTCAACAGAATATTTATGTGCCACTTACTATGTGCTGAGGACTGTCTAAAGCTTTTTGAATAGCATGGGTGAACAAATTCACTTTCTTGTATTTTGCATTTTGGTTGCAGGAGATTGAGATAAATAGCATAACAAATAAGACCACTCCAGACAGTGATAAGTGTGAGGAAGAAAATAAAACTTCGATCATCATTTGGGATAGAGTGGCTAGGGCAAACCTCTCGGGGCGGGGGGGGGGGGTGATATTAGACCCTTGGAGATCTGAATGAGAACAAATTTGTAGATCCACATAAAGCTTTCGTTTCCAAAGCCTTAGTTTCAGCCATACAATGTCTTACGTGTAGAAATCCTTACAACAAGGTAAGCCCAACTGATACTTTCTGTTCCCATTTTATAGATGAGAAGCTGGAGGCTTAAAGAGGCTAAACATGACAAGATCTTTCCAAGAAAGGAGAGAACCAGTATTCAGACTCTTACCTCCTTGATGCAGTTACCAGTCATTAGACCCCAAAGCCAATGTTCTTTCTGGGTGTGGACACTGTTCACCAAATCATATCGCATTCAGAGGTCAAGTATTTAATTCATGCCCTGCAAAAGGAGTTTTTTCACTTGATATTCAGACTCTGTAGAAGCATGATGATAACTCTAACCTGCAGCCCCCAAAACCTAGGCAAAATCTGGGCCATGGGGACCATGGCTTCTTGAGCAGGTGTCCAGGCTAAGCAGGTCTGGCTTTTGGCAGTGACCTTACTGGTAGTTCACACTCATGAGCTGGAGATGTGTCCCAGAATGAAACAAGCACTTCCAAGATGGTGAGAATTTCCGTGGGAAGGGAAAAAAGCACCTCACTGCCACCAGCAGTCCTTCTGACAACTCACTGATCATTTCAACAATTACTTCCTAAACACCTGCTTTGTCTAAGGTATTGGTGTGCCAAGACTTTCCACATGATGTAGGCAGAAATAATTAAATCACACCTGCAGAACAGGGGACACCAGAGTATCAGAAAACCATTAGAAACCAGGCAAATCAGATGTTTTCCATCACTCCATCCTGCCACCTGATTTTTGAAAAGTCAGAAACGAACAGTAAAGCAATATAAAACCTTTCTGGTCAGCCAAGAAAAATAATCTCTCCATGTTTAGGTGCTGGGCTATTAATTATACCTGTTTGATTTTAAAGTATTCTAACTCAAACTTCTCATTACAAGAAATTTATATGTGCAATGTATGAAAGAAGCAGAATGTGCCTTGCATTGTGACTGAGACAATTTAAAGATGCCCTTCTTATTTATTTATAAGGAATAATTTAGTTTATGTCATTGGTGGACCTTCCTCTGTGGAACATAAATAAACTATAAGAAGCAAGCTAGTCCCCAAATAACTTTAGATAGACTTCCAGGTTGTCAAATAAGGGAATGAAATAACACATGTGTGTACACACAGGTATACATGGTTACATCCACAAAGCCAAGCTCTGTTGCTAGTGTAACACACACACACACATACATGCACACACATCTATACATGTGTAGATGCACTTGTACAACTAAACAGTTGTGAATGCAAACAGAATCTCAGCCCTGGCAGTGAACAAAGAATAAAAGATACAAATAAATAGAGAAGTAATACAAGTTACTAATTGGAAGTACACGTTAAAACCAATCTCCTAAGTGTCATTCTTAGTGTTAGGAACCTGAAACATTTCAAAGAAACTGGGAACAAAATCTGGCAATAGATTTTAGTGGATGTGATGGTAATGGATAGGTAAGCCACTTTTCCCTCCAGAATACAAGATTTCACTGGGCCTTCGGGAGTCCTGCTAAAGACTGGAAACAATTCCATGAAATGCCCGCCCTAGCATTGTACATTCTCATGTGCGATATCAGCCCCATTTAGACTGTGAAATTAGGATTTGGATGGAAATGTGTACTTTAGGAAGAGAAAGACAACACAAACAACTTGGTGCAATTTCCCCATGAAATAAATTTCATGAAAATAGTTTTTTTTCTATAAATGCTTCTTGTTTTTAATTAAGACAACACAGACATAAAACACATCATATTGCAACTCCTAAATTGGAGTCATACCTCTTATCAATGGCCAGTAAATGACTGCTCTCTACGGTAGATACAAATGTTCATTCGAGTTTAGATACTAGAATAGTGTCACGATATCATGCAGACAGCTTGCATAAATACATGAGGAATAACAGCATACCTTCAGTAGCTTCTGTAATATTTAGGTATGAAAACTTTGTCTTATTCCAAATTTCCAAAGATGGAATAAAGAATGTTTTCATATAAAATACATTTGGAACAGGTGGGGTATTTTTTGTTTGTTTGTTTCTTTAAAAGGCATCAAATCCACCTGTAACACACATTGCACTTCATTTTTTGGTTACAAAATCAGATAGGTATCCTTTTTCATTTAATGTCACAGGATGTGAACATTTCAGTGATTTCCAATATCAAATAGCTAAATTCAAAATAATATTTTTCTGTTAATTGTTTTTTTACACATATATTTGTAATCAAAGAAAGAAAAACTTGTCAGTTTAGTCTTTGGGCACTATTTTATACTTTATCAGATAGTTGAAAGTCATTAGTAGATTCACAGTACAAAATCTTGAATTAGTTACCAACACGCTTTTATTTCTGCTAATTTCGAAATGTATTTGGACTGGAGGTATGGAAGGAATGTTACTGCTTATCAAACATCTTTTCTGGAAATTTTAACGCACAAAATTCCCAGATTGATATATTCTTAAATAAATTATTTAAAAAATGAAATAAAGAAAAAAGGCAAGGAAAGCCTGCAGTTTCTAATCTGCGTGAATAGCTCTCAGTATCTTCCAGGTGGGGGCAACAGTAAGTCAGTTTTGAGAAAAGATGGGAGAACAGGCTCTTGAAGCTCCCTGAGTCCAGTTACAGAGGAAATGACTTCCTGGTGGTAAAGCCTTGAATAAATCAGCCCTAAATTTCCAGGAGCCCAGTTTCCAAGGACTTTGGGGGTTCTGCGGAGCGGTGGGTAACCAGATCCACTGTCTGATGCGCCCCGCCACCTCTGCTCTGCCGCGACTGCCAGCAACCCGGGGCGCGCACGCGCGCTGCGCACCTGCCAGATCGCGCAGAGCTGCTACACATCGCTGCGCCCAGCCGCCCGGCTGTGGCCCGTGCGGTGCCGGCGGGAAGTGGACATCACTCCCAGCGCTCCAGCTTACTCACTTTCCAGGACCATCAGAGAGCAGAGAAGCCTTTTTCTCCGGTTCACATCTCATTCATTCTTCTGGACAATGCTAGTGCATTCACAACGGCTGCAGCCCTCTGCGCGCGCGTACCTGCACCCTTAAACTCTAAAGTCACAACAGGCAGAAAAACAGAGTTCAGGAGGAGCGGCGGGGTTTCCACTCCCCTTTCCAGCTCCCTTTGCAAATACTCAGACTCTGGGAGAAGGCGGCTGAGCACTCTGGCGAGGATGAGGATGGTGCACGAAGCAGAGGTTGATACTGTACAGTCGGGGAGATGGACTCCCTGTTAGCGTCCCCGCCTCCTCGATTTCCCTCTCTCGCCCAGCGCGGAGGAGGCGGGGCGTGGAAGGCCGGAGAGGCGGGAAACCGAGGCCCCATAGTGGCAGGGCGACTAGAGGTTGCGCGTCTGGGGGCCGAAAAGGGAGGGCGGAGAAGCTGGAGCGCACAGAGGCCCCCCTCCTTTAGGGCCTCGCACTGCTGAGGTGCAGGCGTGTGGGAGACCCGGCGTGTGGGCTGACTACGTGTCGCTCCTTCGCACTCCCCCTGCCGCCCGCGTCCTCGGGCCACCGCCACCACCCCCTACCGAGCCCACGGCCGCGCCCTCGGGTCGGTACTTGAGCCAGCAGATGAGCCATGTGACAACAACCGAGAAGAGTGCCAGAATGCTGGCCACCGACAGGCAGATGGGCCCCACGGGTGAGGGCGACCCGGCAGCCGGGGCCGCGCCAGGGGGCGCCCCGCCGCCGGGGGATGCCCCGCTGCCTCCACTGCCACCGTAGTGGTTGACGAAAATAAGGCCGGTGAAGAGCAGCACCACCATGGAGAGGAAGGAGAAGACGACGCACACGCAGCCGGCGGTGAGCGCGGCGCGCTTGCAGTTGTGGCAGCTCTCGTAGGCTCCCGGGGCGCGCAGGGCGGCGCGGGCGCGTGGCGCGCGGGCGGCGTCCTCCCTGGGCGGCGGCGGCTGCGCTGGGGCAGGCGCGGGTGGCGGGGCCGGCGCGGGCGCTGGGCGACGAGTGGGCAACGGTGGGAGGCGGTCCTGGGGCAGCGGGTCGTGCGCGGCGCGCAGGGCCAGCGGGAAGGCCTCGGCGAGCTTGGTGTTGTTGGGCAGCCCGTGCACGCGGCTGTCGGGCAGCGGCGTGCGGTGGCGGCACACGGGGCACGCGATGGATCCGGGTGGGCTGTGCCAGGGCGGCGGGCGCTCAGGAGCGGCGGCGGCGGCGGCGGCGGCGCGGAGCTGCAGCTGGCTCAGGCACTCCTGGCAGAAGGTGTGCAGGCACGCCAGGAGCTTGGGAGCGCGCCGGTCCGCGTCGAAGTAGTTGTAGCAGATTTTGCACTCATAGTCCTCGAGCGGAGGGAGACCCGGGACCGTCACCGCTGCGCTTCGGCCTCCCGCGTCCCCGTTGTCCCGGGCTCCTGCCGCAGCGCCCCCGGCTCCTGTCGGGCTCCCGGGGCTGCTGGTTGGGCTTCGCTCGCCGCCGCCGCCGCCACTGCCGCTGTCGCTCGCCGGCGCTGCCATGGCATGATCCGCCCCTCATCGGGGGCAAGGTGAGGCGCCTTCCTCCCCCTCTGCCGCCGGGTCGGCTCCGGGCGGGGAGGAGGCGCTTCCGCCTCCCCCCTCTGGCTGCTGTCGCCTGGCGGGGGGAGGCACCGCTGGCTGAGCCCGGTAGGGGCGCAGCGGCGACCGCTTCCCCTACTCCCACCAGATGCGAGTGCCTCGAGTCCTTCCAGCCCTGGGAGCCTCTCTGCCGTCCCCCTGGGGCCTCCCAAGGCAGCTCTCCCGGCAGCTTAGGACATCAGTTTTTGTTGGAATTGGGAGTTGAGGGCGGCTGGGGAGGGGAGGAGCGGTGCGGGAAGGGGATTGGGGTGCGGCTACTTAAAGATGTGGCGCCCGTGCAACACCCCCTCCCCTCCAAACCTGGGAGCAGTGGGGGGAAACGCGGTGCTGCTCTTCCCTTCTACCTCTGCTGCGCCCCCTCCCCCTTTATCCTTATTATTCCCGGTGTATCCTCCTCGGTCTGGAGCTGAATCCCTGACGGAGCCTTCTGTCCCCCCCGCCAAGCCAGAGCTCACCGGTGATGTAATGCGGGACCCGCGCTGGGAGGGGATGCAGCGGCCTCCGCGGCGGCGGCGGCGGTGGTTCCTGTCCGTAAAAATCGTGATCTCATTTCTCCGTCCAAGGGCGAAAGCCAGAAATCACCAAGCCATTTATACTTTGCGCTTTTATTAGTAAAGCCCAGGCAGCTCTGCAGCCTTCTTCTCAGAGTGGGAGCGAAGGGCTGGCATTTTCCTTTTCACCATCGGGAGGAAATTTTGGAGCTGAACAGTACCTTTATTCATCCAGAAATACTGCTTCCTGAGACTTACGGAGGCACGAAGACACAGACTCAGCCTGGTCTTGGCTATGCCCTGACGCTGACCGTAGGGGCTGGAAGTAGCTCTTTCGTTGGTGCACAGGCGGCTACAGAGGCCGAGAGGGGGAAATGTTATTGTCAAATAGGCTCACAGAATTTCAACGTCCACCCTCATCCTAGCCCCTGGCATCACTCACCCCGCTTTTCCACGTCAACTTTTACCACGCGAACGTAGAGAGCTGAAAACTACTTTAGTAACATGGGACAGATCTTCCTGATTTTATTAAAAACCAAGAGAAGCTCCTCTGAGCAGGTTAGCAAAAAGCAGCACTTCTTGAGGGAACACTCAGTCGAACATAGGAGTGGTGGGGTGTGGGGACCCTCTGTTGGGTGCTATTCAGATATTCCTAACCAGAAAGTTCTGTTCCTATTTCTCCAGAGTGGACCTCACGCTATGAAAAGAGACGCCCCCTTCCCAACAAGGAAGGGGAAGAGGATGGAGTTCCGGGGTCTCATGAGATGGGAACGTCCTCCCTGTCTCTGGGTCCCTCTGCAGAAGCCAGCGGGATGCCCCGGGGAACGTTGGTGGAAAGGAAGACTGAATGGAACACAAGCGGAAGGAAAAGAAGCCAAGAAACTACCAATGCACAGGCAAGAGGGGGAATTGTCATAAATAGCTATTACATATCTATGACATTCATAAATAAATTTATTTTTTATTCTCTGTAAGTAGCAAATGGAATAGATGTCTTAAGTTTGAGGGACTTCAGATGAAGCTCATTAACAACCATCAGCTTTTCATTTCCTAGTCTCAAATTTTATAATTTAAGGAAACACGAAACACTTTTTTTTTTTTCTTGAAGCACATCATTTTGTGATGGGGGCCATTATGCACAGAAGGTAGGGTGATGGGAAATTGGAAGAAGGCCCTAGTCTGGGCCTTGAAATGTTACGCGCAAACCTACTCAGAGTGGAGGAAGTTGGATGCCTGTCCTTCTCTTTCCCTCCTTCATTGGGAAGAGCCTGGGATGGTGCATTTTATGCATCGTTTTAATCTGGGTTCTTCTACTTTAAGTTTTGATTAGCCCTGTGCTGAGAAGAGACATCACTCACGTCAGAAAAATTGTAAACAGGGCATGGGGAGAAGAGAAGCTTAGGAACAGGAGGGGCTAGTATGCATTTAAGTTTTTGTCCTTCCCACCCATTTTCTAGGACATGTGTAACCTTGATGCTGATGCTGAAGGGGACTGAAAAAGAGTCCTGGAGGTCTCCATGTTAGCATATGGCATGCATTCGGGCAAACATGTAAGATTTTCAAATTTTGCTCTGTTACGCATTCTCACCATTGAATGGAAGAATTGAACATGGGGCGACCCCAGGGCCTGCCAACCCCAACACTATTGACATTTTGAGCTGGATAATACTTTGTTGTAGGTGCTGTTCTATACATTGTCAGATGTTTGGCAACATCCCCAGTGTCTACCCACTTGATGTTAGCAGCAACCCTCCCCACTGGTGACAATCAAGTGTCTCCTGGGGACAAAAACTGCCCCTAGTTGAGGATCAGAGGTCTACCCCTAAGTCACAGATTGGTTTAAAGTGAAACCAAATGCAGAAACCCCTCCCAACTATTAGCTAGCGCAAGCAAAGATCTCATTACCAAGTTTACTATCTACAAGTGTTTTTTCTGTAGCTCATGGTATCTTAGATGCCACAGCACCATCTTTGAGAGGACCAGGCACAGTTTTTGTCAATAATATGTTCTGTTGATGTGGTCACAAAGAGTTGCTAGAATTTGGTTAACAAGGCTGGAATTTATTCTCTGTTTATATCCTAGGGCCAGTCACTCATTTTTGGACTCATAAAGGTGTCATGCGGGGTTTCCATCAGTGCAACGAAGAGCATGAGTTTGCATGACACAGGCACCTGCCCTCGTGGACCAGAAGGCTCGGTGCTCGGTGTCACCTGCAGGAATAAGTAGTGAAGCGTGGTCACTCATGTAGGAAGAAGGTTTTCACTGTGGTGAAAGACACGTTGAAAAAGATCTTAAGTCAGAAACAAGGAACTCAATATTCACTCCAGGATTTGACTTGGCTTTGCAAGAATCCAGCTCATGCCGTAAACATTAGACACTCAGTATTTGCCACATTTGTTTTCTTTTTGGGGGACCTAAGTAAATGGGAGACAGCAATGGTCTTGGGTCATCTCTTGTGTACATTCTATTGACCATCTGAAGAGAGACTGTTTTAGTTTTAGCTTTGACAGTCCTGAGTCCAAATGCCAGGTCTGCTCCTCATCCTCTGTGTAGCATTAGATGGGATACTCAATTTCTCTGTGCCTCAGTTTACCAAACTGTAAAATGGGAATGAGTAGTTACCATGTAAGTCTGTTGTGAAGATTGAACAAGTTGTACACATAACACATACAGAGAGTCCTGACCCCTGTTAACACTCATTCCTATTTATGTCGGGGGTTTCTATTGCTGATCTTAATAATACTCCCAAACACCCTAGGAGAGAGGACCATGGAGTCTCTGTAACCATACCAAGGTTACACAGCCAGCAGGAACAGAGTGGAAGAGCTCCTCCATTATTTCGAAGATAGAGATACAGGGAGCCTCTCAGTCAGAAAGGCCAGGAGGAGGCCGCTCCAATGACTCTAACCACGCATTACTGACCTGTCAGCTGCAATAAAGCCCTGTGTAAAATACGAGGACAAAGTGAAATCTCATTGGTAATATTGGAAGAATAGATGTATAGGCAGATAATGCCACTCAGAAGCAAGTAGTAAATGAGTCGATCAAACAGTTGACGTTTTAAAATCGAAACTGGCCTGATTCATTTTGACATTTATTGAGGTCCTATTCCGGAAGGCATTACAGCTGCAAGATAAGTTATCTGGCCTCCAGAAACCAAGGGTTTAAGAGAGGATATTAAACATGTGTACAAAACTTGGAGGCAGTATGAGGCAAGTTTGTGGTCTAGGGACCAGGCCTGATGGGAAGAAAGTGGAGAGAAGTTATTTCTGCTGCAGGACGTTTCTGCAGACTCATGGTCAGTGAATTGAAGATTTAAGAAAATCTACAGAGAGAAAGACATTCAAGGCACCAGCAGCAGGGAAAGCAGGCATGTTGAGGGCACAGCGGGTGACCTGCTTCAGAGAGAGCATGCAGCGTGAAGGATGCTGCCCAGGGAGGCCTAGAATGCCATGCCAGCTGGGCTGGGTTTAATTCTGGAGAGGACCCGAATGTTCCACCTCCATGCACGGTGAGAGTGCCCGCAGTGGATAGAGCTTCAGCGCGCTGGGCTGGCTGGCATTGGAATTGACTATCCAGAGGGAGACTTAAGTACCCATTAAGAGGTTACTTTAGGAGCTAAATCTCACTGCTGTATACTGCAAAGATAAAACTTTTAAAGGGATTAACATGCTCCATTTATGGCAATAAGTTCTCTCTCTTTGTGTGTGAGCTAGTGGTTCAGAACGAGCGATCTGATTCCAGACGGCCTGTTCCACTGACCAGCTATCCAGGGCTGGACAAGGTCCTTAACCTTTTCATGCTCCAGGTTTCTCTTTTGTAAAATGGGAGAGTGTTACCTACTTCATAAGGTTGCTGTGCAGTTAAAATGAGTTGACATATATTAAGCTTCAAACAGTGCCTGGTACGTGGTATCTTAAAAATGTTTAAAAAATAATAAAGCCTACCCTAACAAATTGTTTATTCTAGAGGAATTATTTCTTTTTTGCTAAATAAAGACCACCTTGACCAGGTGATCAAAGTTAACATCAGTAGTGACAAGTCGTGGCACTTACCCTTGATGCCATGTGTTGAGAACAGAGCTCTCTGCGGTAGTCCTCTCAAAACCCCATAAACCCAGTCCTATCATAGGAAACATAGCTGACAAATCCCAACAGAAGGACAGTCTACAAAATATCTCTCAAAACTTTCAAGGTCATTGAAAGTTGGGAGACTGTCACAGCCAAGAGGAGCGTAAGGAGGCATGACAGCTACATGCGTTGTGATATCCTGGATAGGGTCTTGGAACAACAACCAAAAAGGACTTTGGGTAAAAATCTAAAGACAGCGTTGACTCTAGTGAATAATCACGCATTAATATTGGTTCATTGGTTATAATAAATGTGGCATGAATGTAAAATGTTCTTAACA